CGTCGGAATGAATGCCGTACGCGCTTCATACAGCGCGATTCGCACAGCTCTAAACACGCAATTCGACGCGCAATTCAACGTACAATTAGCCGCGGAATTCAACGCGCACTTTAGCGCATAATTCGATGCGCACTTCATATGAATGCCGTACGCGCTTCATACAGCACGATTCACACAGCTCTAAATGCGCATTTCGATGCACAATTCAATGTACAATTAGCCGCGGAATTCAACGCGCGCTTTAGCGCATAATTTGATGCGCGTTTCAAAACGCGATTCCGCGTCGGAATGAATGCCGTACACGCTTCATACAGCGCGATTCGCATAGCTCTAAACGCGCAATTCGACATGCAATTCAACGTACAATCAGCCGCGGGATTCAACGCGCGCTTTGTGCAACGGACCCACCGAAAAACACCCATGCCCACACGACAGCACGACCCAGGGGACGCCTCACAGCCCCGAAGCCAAATCCATACGATATAAACCACTATCGCAATATGTACCCCATGACCAACGCGGCCGTACGGCATAGTATAGCGCGTACGGCATAGCGTAGCATAGCATAGCGCGTACGGCATAGCGTAGCATAGCATAGCGTGTACGGCATAGTGTAGCATAGCATAGCGTGTACGGTGTAGCATAGCATAGCATAGCGTGTACGGCATAGCATAGCGCGTACGGTATAGCGTAGCATAGCATAGCGCGTACGGCATAGCATAGCGCGTACGGCATAGCGTAGTCAAGGATGCTCGTGCATGGTTCAGCCGCCGCTGCACGGCAGCTGCCCAGGCAGCTAGTGTGGAGAGAGAGAACGTGTCAGCGGCAGTGCACAATGCTATCGAGCCAGCATTGGATGGTGAAAGCCTTCTCGAGTATTATCTCGAAAAATTAGACGAATCTTTTGCTCATCAGCGTAAGACAGCCAAGGTTCTGGAGTATTTGCGGACTAGGCAGGACAACGGCTCGCCACAGCTGTACCTGCAGCAAATACGGGAGCTCGAGCCGTACA